TTAATACTCACAGTTATTTTGATTTTTGTCTCCAATCCTCTAAACTCTTGCCGATATATCTCAGTAATAGCGGTTAGTGCATATTTAGTCGGCGCATACACATTCATAATTGGCGGTTCATCAAACGGCCAATGTGGCACCGAGTGGCCCACTACGCTATTGACGATCACCACATGTCCATCAAAATTGCGTTCTTTCATTGATTTGAAAGCGCGTTGCGTACAATATACCACACCCATTATATTAGTTTGTACAACTTGTTGCATTACTGCAGGATCCAAGTTAACGGCTTGACCCACTTTAAAAATGCCGGCATTATTCACCAATATATCAACGCCACCCAATTCTTTGATGATCCAATCGAACGCCTTATCCACCGATTCTTGTGATGAAACATCGCAAACGAAAGGATGGAAACGTTTTTGTTGTTCAGCTGGCAATTCAGATTTATATTCTTCCATCAGCTGTAGTCGGCGGGCAAGTCCCACCACAACAAGATTAGCTTTAAGTAAATCTTTGACTATGGCAGCGCCAATGCCTGAACTAGCACCAGTAACTACAGCGACACGACCTTGCCAGCGTTCCATTATGATTTCACTTGGGTTGACGAGAAGAGTCGCAGAAAAGTAAAACTAAGTAGTTGCGCCTGCAATGGAAAGTGTATTACTGAAAGAACTCTGTAACGTTTAATGACTTTTATTGCTTACAACCAAGATTTGTAATACATATAAGAGGTTGAGTATTGCGGAAGTCTGTTATTTTTCTCTCGCTAAATTGTGCAATAAGCTGAGTAGCTGGGCGATAACAACAGCCAAAACGACAATCAGCGTAAAAAAAAAACATAAAATTGAAGTGAAGTGAAGCAACATATTTATGCCTGCGGATTATCCCCAAAAAATCACGAGAGGTGTTTGGGTCGAAGCAACCTGTTGAAACCAATTGTGATCGATTGCTTACACAAGAATGCATTTACAGTCACAAGTTTTCTTCATGTCGAAAAAGCTACAAAACGAGATTTTTCACAGCGGTCAATTTTTTCTTAATTTTCACTTAAACTCGCTATATCTCAGACTTTTATGAAGCGCTTGTTTTGAAATTTATACACAATAAACAAGATACTATTCTAAAGAAACTGGGCTTAGCTACACTTCTTAATACTTATTAAAAACAAAATGGCGGATTTTTTGTGTTGTTATAAACTTTGAACGTTTTTTTTTTTGTTTTAGCGCAACCATATAGACGAATGTCCAAGGAAATTTTTGGGTAAGTTTAAGATTTACTCAGCAAGTCTTTCGTAAACCAGTTGTCAATTCTGGAACAATTGAGAGATCTGCTAACGAGGAAGTCTTAGCGTTATGCTGCTCGTTTTAAGCAAAAAATTGTTTTTCAATTAAATTAGATAACAAAAAATATATATATTTTTTTTCTTTTTAAAACAATAAAACTAATAAATTTCAGAAAATTTATTAAAAAGTGAAAATAAAGCAAAAATAAATAAAAGCATTTTAAAAAACTAAATGAAATTAAGCAATAAAAGCTAAAAATTTAATTAAAAAATAAAAATAAGTAAAACGAACGAGAAGAAACTAGTACTTTTAATTAAATAAAATTAAAAAATATATATATTTTTATTTTTAAATTCAAATTTAAAAGGAAAAGGAAGAAAATGGAAATAAAATAGACAAAAAATACAAATAAGTTCATAAAAATTAAATGAAATAAAAAAATATGTGTTTTTCACTTCAAAACAATAAAACTTAAAAATTAAAAGAAAACGAAGTAACCAAAAAAAACATATTTTGAATCCAAAAAAAATATGTATATAAAATAAAATATTGTATTTCTTTTTTAAACTACTACTATCTCTTCTTTAAACCAAGCCAAAAATTAGAAGACAATTAAACTAAATAAAGAAAAAAAATATTTAAAAAGGGAAAAAATTAATAAGTTCTGAAAACTAAAAGAAAATTTAATCAAGAAAGAAAAAAAGTAGATTAAAAAGAAAGAAAATAAGTATGAATTTCTAAAAAATTAAATGGCATTAAAAATATATATTTTTCTTATTTGAACAACAAAATGTTGAAATTAAAAGAAAATTAAGTAAAAAAAAAAAAAAAAACAAGTAAGAAATTCTAAGTTCGAGCGGAGCCGAACATTAAATACCCGGCGCAAGTATTAAATATATGTTTTTCACCTTTCCGAAACCTTCCTCTAGATGGTAAGCCGGGGTGTATTAATTTTGAGTAAATTAGCGTCCTTCAATTTCGAAATATTGAAATTTCAAGCATTTCTGAAATTTACCGTTATATGAGAAGCGGCCGTTATTTTAGTCCGATTTCAATAATTTGCAACGTTTTGCTTTTATGTGGCAAGCACAATAACCACACCGAGTTTGGTACAAATTGGTAGAACGGTTACCGATATACTTATATGTGATCATAAATGGGCGGTGCCACGCCCATTTTCCAAAATTTTATCACAAACGTATTTCTTGGTTAAGAGTTGTTGCAAGCATAAATTTTGAATAAATTAACTTTAATATTTACTGATTTATCGAAGATTTTGTATTTCTCTAAATTACCGTTATATGGGATGCGGGCGTGGTTATTGTCCGATTTTAAAACGTTTCGGCGATTTTTTATGCTATACCAAGGCCAACAACTGTGCCAAGTTGGGAAGAAATTGGTGCAGCGGTTACCAAGATATACACATGTAACCATAAGTGGGCGTGGCTACGCGCATTTTCCAAAAATTTATAATATTCTTATTTTTCGTCTAAAAATTATTGTAAATATCAATTTTGAGTGAATAATCTCCAGTAGTTACTAAAATATCGCAGTTTTCGTATTTCTGAAAATTACCGTTATAAGGGAAGTAGGCGTGGTTATTGAGCGATTTTAAAAATTTTCGGCCATTTGGTATGTTGTGCGAAGGCCAACAACTGTGCCAAGTTTGGAAGAAATTGGTGCGGCGGTTACCAAGATATACACATGTAACCATAAGTGGGCGTGGCTACGCCCATTTTCAAAAAATTTATAATATTCTTATTTTTCGTCTAAAAATTATTGTAAATGTCAATTTTGAGTGAATTATCTTCAGTAGTTACTAAAATATCGCAGTTTTCGTATTTCTGGAAATTACCGTTATATGGGAAGTGGGCGTGCTTAAAGTCCGATTTCGCCCATTTTCAATACCAACCTACCTTGGATTAAGGGAAACCTACATACCAAATTTCATTGAGATATCTCAATTTTTGCTCGAGTTATCGTGTACTCGGGCGGACGGACAGACGGACAGACGGACGGACAGACAGACATGGCTTAATCGATTTCTTTTTTCATCCTGATCATTTATGTATACATTTGTCTATATCTATCTCGATTCGTTTTGGCTGTTACAAACAACCGTTATGTGAACAAAATTAATATACCCTTGTGCACAAGTGCGCTCGGGTATAATAAATAAAAAATTACACTGTTCGAGAAACAGAACAGGGATCTCTCGAATGGCACGCCTTTGCTTTGTTCACATGGCAAAGGAACAAAGGCTATGGGCTGGTTTCTCCAACTCAACTTAACTTAGTTTAGCCAATTTTTTAGACTTAGTCAAGAATAAGCTGGGTAAGAAGTAGTCTAACTTTTGACTTAAGTCCAAAAAATGGCGAAACTAAGTTAAGTTGAGTTGGAGAAACCAGCCATATTTGGTAGAAGTTATAGCTGGCTGGATATCACAAAAGCACGGGGAAGTACTTCAATTACCAGCTCACAGAACTTCTAAGCGGACACGGTGACTTCAAAAGCAAACACACACCGACTCGTATATGACGACTGTGATAGGTGCTTTGTATGTCGTACCGTTGGGGAAGACGTGAATTTTTGTTTGACTGCGAACGTTACGAAGAAGAAAGAGCTGAAAACTATAGGACACACAATACTCAAATGAATAGGTACTTACTTTTATGAAAGGAAGTCGGCTATGCTATACTGCAAAATTGCAACGGCTGGCTGCTTAGCGAAAACGGCTTCGACGTTCAGGGCTATGCGTATGACATTGTCATCTTAATCAGAGGTAGATTACGCTACTATCGCCAGCCGCCTACAGAATTCTCTGAACATAGTCGCCAATTCGTACATTAACATTGAGTGGAACGTAAACCCCAAGAAGACTAGCATAATCATTTTCTCCAGGAAAAGGAAAAAAGGAAAGGAGCAAATTACTAGAACCACTCCTTCAAAGAGAAAATAAACACTACTGCAAAGAGGTCAAATATCTGGACCTTCCGGAAACTAATGAGTAGGAACTGGCGCATCAGACTTAAACTGGCAAGGTGGACGTATAATGCAATCTCAAAACCCATTTTAACTTATGCTGGATGCATCTGGTGAAAGTAAGCGGAAGTGAAGTCCACGAAGGCCAAGCTCAACAAGCTACAACGACTGGCCTGCGTGAGTATCATTGGCGCGATGACAAAAGCACCCACCACGGATCTCAAGGTGCTTCTTGACATGCCTCCCCTACACCCTGTGAACAAGAAAAGCGTCCACTGTTTACAGCAAGGTTCACCTTAGGGGACAAGAAGCTTATACGCCCTTCCGCCCTTGGGGTTATATAATAAAAGGACTTACTTCGCATTTGCTTTGTGGACCTGCGCCTTCATAGGTTTAACTTTACACAAAAGTTCAAAGTCTTTTTCTCCAACAAGAACATTTAAACAACGAACGACCTAAACCCCAGAAAGACAGCCACATTTGGTATACTGACGGCTCCAAGACTGACCACGGCGTCAGATAAGGGGAGTTTACGGCATACGACCCAGAGGGCCTCTTTTCATGGCCGGGCAAGAATATATTGATAAGTAGAACCGAAGAACTTATTTGTTTCAGTATGCAAGAAGTAAGAATTGGTACAGTTTTCTTACTGGTCACTTAAGGTTAATGAAACACTTGTCAAACTTAACAACTCATATACTCTGATCAATGTAGGTTGTAACAGCTCAAAACCTATATGGCATTCAACCACAGGACCTCGGGAGGTTTCTTAGCAATACGTGGATCCACGAAGACCTGTAGTCGAATATAGGTTTGTTACAATAGATTGTTTCGGTTGCGGTAACTAGTTGGTTCTCCGGTGTTAAGAAGCTTGTAAAGCAGAAATATTGGTTTTATTGGGCCACTTCTTCGTAGAGTGCTAACACAATGTACTCATGACATTTGATGTCTAAACATATATTCCCCCAAATCATCCTAAACTAGAACCTAAATGGCTCAGATAAAGTCCTGAACTTGGCGCGAAAAAGTCCTAACTGGTCTCGAATTAGACCCGAAAGTTTCCTGAACTACTCCCGATATGATACCGAAAAAGCGTCGAAAAATTCCTGAACTAAGCCCGAACTCGTCCCGTAATGATCTCAAAAGAGTCCCGAACTAGGTCCGAAATGGCCTCAAACCGTATTAACGGGCAGTGTTGCTAGAACAGCTAATTACATTTGTTTTTATTTGTGCCACTTTTCAATTTGTCTTGGCTTACGCGTGGCGGTTTACGCAAATTTTGCCCATACCGGGAGTAAAGATGTTTACAAATGAACAGATTTCCGCCCCTGATGAAGCTAAGAAGTTAGCGAAACGTTGGGAGTAAAGCGAAGCAGAAACCGAGAGTTTTCACTTGCACTTGCACATGATAGATCAACCAAGCCTACAATAACATTAAAAATCTATACCAAATTGATCAGCATACAAAAGAAGAACAGATTTTTTATCAGCACATTTACAATGGATTTTTTTATTTTATTAAAATTCGGTTGCATTTTATATTTGAACATTATATAGAGTATTCCTATGCATATCTATTACATACATATATAAGAATTAGCAAATTTGAATTGTTGCTTTTCAACGTTACATATATGTATGTACGTGGATTTCGTTTATCCAGCTTTTATGCGCCAAATGACGATTAGTACGATTATTTTCATACATACATACATATTTGTACAGACATAGGCAGTCTACATAAATCGATGGCATTTATGTATTCAAGCTAATATTTTTAATTACTCGCCCAATAAGGGTTTTACCGTGATCTCATGGACTTGCATGTGTGGCGGTGTCGAAAGGGTGAACAAAATGCAGCTAGAAACATCTTCTGGCTTCAACATTGGTGGAGCGGATTTTTTATAATACTCCGGAACGATTTCGGTATCGACCAAACCTGGGCTAACGCTCTGAAATAAAAATGAATCAATTAATATACATAAGTATGTAATTATTAGGGTGATTGACTCGGTTTTTCCAAACCGGTTTCCGCCGGTTTTGTTTTTTTTTATATCTATAGGCGCTTTTTTTTAAATCTCGATTTTCGAATCCATACTAATTACATAAAGAGAATTGCTTTTTTTGTAACAGGTAATCTCCCGAACGGCTGGTCCGATTTTCATGAAATTACAACGCTTTTATCAACTTGCAATGTTGTGTCCCTGAAACTTTCAATGTTGTGGATCCAGAAACTTTCAATGTTGTGTTCCGACACCAAAGCAAAGCTTTGAAAAGCTCCTATAAAAAAGCATAGTGAATAGGGCGAGATAGATGACATTTAGATGTCGCCCTATGTACTACGTTTGCTACACCGGAAATAGACGCCATTTCTTTAAATAAAAGCCGTCATTGATTCGCCACTTCTCGCTCGCTATGTTTGAGTTCCGACCGCTTAAAGAAGAATTTTGCATGCGAAAGCAACAACAAAGTTAGCTAGCACGGATAGACGATAGCGAGTTTGGTTGTACCTCATTGAGTTCATTCGTTTCGCCACTCGCTAACTGATGGCGAATCGATGACGGCTAAAATTAGTTTGACTATTGTCAACTAAATCGAATGCTTTGTAAGTGAAGTGACTTGTGGACCACTTGAGGTATAGGTGGCCCAGTCGGTAACCACTTTGGGCCCGTTGGTAACTAGTTCGTGGGACCAGTTGGTAACCAGTCGGGGACCAGTTGCGAACTAGTTTTGGACTAGTCCGAAACTACATACCTTCGGCCCAGTTGGGGACCAGTTGGTCTTTTTAAGCTCTGTGGCCGTTTTAAGGGTAATTCTTGGGCTCCTGCACTGCCGCTCGGGGATTCTGCCTTCTACGGTGGTAATTTTTTGGCCGGGTTGCCTGTTTTGGCGGATTGTTGTGCTGTGTGCCGCGTATTACGTGTACCGGGTACCACTTTCTCGAGCGAATTGCTCTGGGAAACCTGTTGTGTGAGTTGCTGGCTTTTTGGCTAGACTTTGAGGAGGGTTTATACACGCATATCGGCGGAAATAGACGACACGTCATTTCTTTAAATAAAATTAATTGGTGCTCGTTTGTATGTACATACATATGTAAATGCATGTGTGTGCACCTTTCTATTAATATCGTTGAATTATTTTAATATCTATTGCAAAATTTTATTCAGACAGGACTAAAAAGTAGAAAATAAATAATATAAAAAAAACTTTTTAATATACAACGCTTTTATAAATGGACTAAAAAGTAGAAAATAATACTTCTCAGTCCCATAGAATTTGTTTTGA